GCAACGTCGGGTTGTCTGGGAACATTCTCTTTACATGCACTTACATTCTCTTTACCTTTTTAGTCAAATAAACAATAGCATACATGCATTAATACAAGATCTAACACAAACACACTAAACGGTTTTCAGAAAATATCAGATTTTCTGGTGGTTTTCAAAGTTATACAAATCATTTTCACAAACATGCTTATGAACTCACCAAAATTTTTATGTTGACCGTTTTCAAAATAACTTATATTCTCAGGATACCGTTGAAGCAGGATGAACGAAACAAACTAATGGATATTGTGTGATATTTTGTTTCATCATACTCTTACTATTTTGGTATTTAATATTCAAATACAATACTCGATGTAAACTATGAATGTTGTAATATTACATGTGTGATGATGATGATATTATGTTTCAATTATATTCACTGTAATGATATTTCAAGATGAAGTCACACACAAGTCCCCGGACGTTTCCGCCGTCTGGTTCGGGGGTGTGACAAAACTGTTGAAAGCTTTATATGGGCTTCGTCAAGCTCCTAGAGCTTGGAACTCTCGTCTGGACAGATATCTAGAAAAATTGGGATTTACAAGATGCGTACGAGAGTATGTAGTTTACACAAGGAAGAGGAATGGTAAGCTCTTAATGGTTGGGGTGTATGTTGATGATCTGATTGTTACAGGAAATTGTAGTAATGAGGTGAAGCTCTTCAAAGAACAAATGCAACAGGAGTTTGAAATGAGTGACCTTGGCTCATTATCATACTACCTGGGTATTGAAGTGGGTCAAAAAAAAGATGGTATTACTCTAAAGCAAATAGCTTATGCGAAAAATATCCCGAAGAAGGCAGGCATGGCTGAGTGCACATCATGTAAATACCCAATGGAACCCAAGTTATAGCTAACAAAAGATGAAGAGGGAGACTTGGTAAATCCCACGGAGTACAGAAGCATCATTAGAGGTCTGAGATATCTCACACACACTCGACCTGACATTTCTTATGTTGTCGGGATTGTAAGTCGGTTCATGGAGAGACCCACAGTCAAGCATCTACAAGCAGTGAAACATATTCTGAGGTATATCAAAGGAACCATTGATTATGGCTTAAAGTACACCAGGGGGAATGGAGAAAACATTGTAACCGGGTATATTGATAGTGATCTTGCAAGGGACGTAAATGACAGACGCAACACATCAGGAATGGCATTTTATCTTAATGAAAATCTGGTTACTATGGCGTCGCAGAAACAGAGGACTGTAGCTCTTTCCTTGCGAAGTAGAATTCATGGCGGCGACAAGTGCAACGTGCCAAGGGATATGGATGCATCGGTTGCTTAGCAAGTTAACAGGAAAGAAAATTAGTCCTGCGGTGCTGCATGTTGACAACAAATCAGCCATAAATTTGATAAAGAACCCAGTGTTTCATGGGAGAAGCAAACACATAGACACTAGGTTTCATTTCATACGTGGATGTCTTGAGAATGGGGACATAAAAGTCATGCATGTGAGTAGCAAGGAACAGAAGGCAGATATTCTCAGAAAATCCATGGCAAGCAAGAAGTTTGAAGAAATGTGCAACTTACTGGGAGTGAAGCAGATAAAAATTATGGATTAAGGGGGAGAATATTATAATAATCCATAATATTTATTATATAAGAAAAGAAGAATTGAAGCAAGTTGCAAGCACGTGTGCTCCCTTGGGCTGTCGAAATTTTGCATCATTCCTACTCTAGTTTGAGTGTTTGACTCTTTTCTTTTAATGAAGGTTGTTGCCATCTTAATGTTTTGTTTAAAGTTGTAGTTGAAAAAGTCAGAAGTAGTTGTCTAGCTTTAATATATGTTCCTTTTGTGTTAAGTAAGTTTAAAAGAAAAAGGAGACAAAGAAGAGAAGTCTCGTTGGTTGTGGTTGTTGGCATTATTTTTGTTCTCTCTTCACTTCCTGCACATACACACTACTAGAAAAACAGCCTTTTACGACGCTCATTGCGCGTCGTAAAACGCTCAGACGACGCGCAAATGCGCGTCAAGGAAGGCCCTATCATAAAGAGAGACGACGCACATTTATGACGCTCGGTTATGACATGCAATGCGTATCAAGGAAGGCCCTGTCATAAAGGAAGACGAAACGCATTTGCGTGTCGTAACCTTACGACGTGCATGTTTATGACATGCAATGCGTATCAAGGAAGCCCCTGTCAAGAAAGGCCGTGTCATAATGAAGATGACACACATTTTTGCGTATTGTAATTTTAAATGTTAAAAAAAATATTATTTATAGATTTACTAATTTTAAAATTAAATTTGCATTTAATGTCTCATAAGAAAAAAACTAAATTACAATATACAAAAACTACAATCCATTGCATAAAATGTAATGTCATACAAATAGTCGATCCATGGAAAGATAAAACAAATCAATAAAAATTGTTTTCTCCCTATACATGATTATCACATACTAAATAACAAACTTTATTTCATATTCATACATATGATTACATTATTCATTAAAAAAAACATATACCTACATCTTCGCCTAGAATGTTATTACATGATGCAAGTTGGCCACTTCATTGATGGATCACCAAGAGGAAGACCAACAACTGCTGTTAAGTTTCACAGATATGATAATTTTGGATTAATAAAATATTTAAGAAAACAGAAGGGTAGATTTGTAAATTGTAATTGAACCTTCTCTGCTCCTAAAGTTTCAGTGGCGGTGCCTCTTGTTTGGCGCCATATACAAGCTTCATCTAGCGGCTCCACAAGCTCTGTATCTTGTGCGATTTCCACTTTCATCCGTATGTCTGTACTGCCTATTTGTTTCATAACAACACACCATGATTTTACCTAATATTTTTTTACTAAAGAAAAATAGATACAATGGTGAAGTGAAAGAGCATGTAGATAGAGACAGTTAATTAATTACCTGGTAACAAGCTGAAATGTTGAATATAATCCGCAGGAAGTCCCAAGACACCAAAATTTTAAGCAAACATTTACATACTCCTATTAAAGATTCTATAAAACAAAATTTTATAAGAAAGAATGTCAAAACCCAACACAAAGTATCACATCCAATTAGTAAGTAAATATAAACATATCTTGCAGGGGTAAAATGGTAATTTGTGTAATTTTATAACCAAACACAAATTACCAGGAAAATACATATGAACATGAGAATCTTTTACAACAGGGCAAAACCACCTAGGTGGCCCACCATCACTAGTAATTAAACGACAAGAGTATAATTTTAACAATAATAGACACATCATGTCAAAGTTTATAAACCATGTCAAACTTATTGAGCAATCAACTATGGCGTTTCTAGTAACTCACTCACTCTGTATGGCCAAGGCAGTAACTTTGTATCTCATGAGCTCCATCTATAGGTTTCTTCGGGAGCATGGTGACCTGTCATTTAGAAAGAAAATAAGAACATGCTTAAGAAAATAGTAATTGTTGATAGTATAATAATAATAATAATAATAATAATAATAATAATAATTAGATAAGGGGCCCATGCTTTGCAGTAAATTATTGTTGCTTATATATCCGATGTTACAAATAAGATGGGGATCGAAAATGTGTTTATCAACCGTCAGCATAAACATACAACATCATCCACATATGTTCCACATGGCGATGACCCTAGATGCAACCTTTGGTTCATATATAAAGAATGTTGGAAAGAATGCAGCTTGTGTGCTAGGAAGGTCGCCACCTGGATTGAGCAAATAGTATGCATCCAATGGATCAATCATAGGAAAGAATGCAGACTTTTCTTGATATTCACAACATCTATCAAATGTCTAAGAAATACTTGAAACAAAAGGCATGCGATACACCTCCTGGTTTCTTAGTATTGGTAGATTTTCCCATGGTAGCATCTGCAACCCAATCACATGTTATCAAAACAAAACAGACAAACATGAACATGAGAAGGGCATTCATGTCTTTTTCATAGAAAATAGATTACCTGGATGTCAAAGTCTAGAACTAATATCACAGCTTCTCTATCTTCTTCCTCAATTTCACGGATTGCATCTAGTATCAGTTCTGTTCTGAAACAGAGGAAGATAAGGTGTCAATTTTTTCTTCACATGTATTTAGCCAACCATCAATATAAAGTGTGTATTAACTCCCAAAGTCATCCAACTCATCCAACTTTCCCCCCTTTTTCTCAAGAAAGTGCAATTATGAGAATATACAGTGTGTATTAACTCAAAAAATTTATTCTATATAAAAGAAAATGTATACTAGATGATAAAGAAAAGATATAATAAAGAAAATATACCATACCATGATCTCCTTCAATGAATCATACTTCCCATCTATACTAGATGAAGTACGATGCAGACTTCTATTCAATTTTCTCCAGTGAGACTAATCTGGAGTGTTCTGAAATAAAAATAAAAAACAGTCATTGATAGTTCAAAACACTTAATCATAAGTGGACCAAAAACTATATGGATAGACGAGTAAGTAATGTATCTCACCTTGGCACAAAATATATAAACATTGACTACTTTAGTTTGACCACGCCTATGTGCTTGACTTTCAACCTACAAAGGTCCATAAATCCATCAAGAAACCACAATAGCTAGAGATTCTAAAAGCACCACATTTTGAGTTTTTGACTCACCTATTGAAACCCACTACCATAAACAGAAGTATCCACCAGAGGAAATAATGTGAGATGGTCAGAATTAGGTGCAACAGTTTCAGGGTGAACTTTCCTATGGAACATTCGTTGGAGCCGTAAAAAGCCCCACCCACATTAAAAAAAAACATGCAAGGATATATACTCAACTAATCATTTAACACTTTTTACTAAAACAATAGATTAATGTACATACCTTGCCTGGTTTTGGTTTTTTATCAGCCGAACCAGGATAAAGGGTTCTTCCTTTTAGTATCTTTTTCATCAAATGGACAACAAATTTCTCCTTTCTCTTTTCTCCATCATTGTTTTTAGGTCCAGCAGTTTCTTTTTCTTCCATTTTAGTTCTCTAAAAGAGCTCTCCAAGTGATGCTCGATGTTCTTTCTTTCCCGTTGTTGTTTCAGGCAATCCAATTACCGAACTTAACAGATATGTCTGTAGTGGACAAACAACTGCTCCATCTTCATTTTCTTCTTCTTCTTCTTTTTCTTCTTCTTCCTTTCCTTCGGTTCTTAGCACCTTTTCTAACTCACCATTGATAAGGTTCAGTTCATTCTCAGTTGCTTCAGTTTCTTTCCATGTAATATTCTCAACAGAGGTGGCAAATGTTGGTGTTTCTGGTTCAGTAATAGCAAGATTACCAATTGCCAAGAATCCATGGAAGAGTACTTCACCAGATGGTTACTCTTAGTCTGATGTAGCAGTCTCTATGCATGCAAATGATTTATGAAAATGCTTCTCTTTGTTTATTATTGCTTTGAGCCTTGGAGTAACAGTACGGTGATTTAGGATAGTATTGTAAATCCGTAAGAAACGCACATGAGTTCCCTGTTCATTAATAAAGAATGAGTATAATGATATGGTTATAAAACATAAACATGTGAGAGTTGAAGATGCAAAGACTTACTTGGAGCAAATTCCTTTATTAGGTGCTCATTGTTATTCTGGTGAAACTTGTGCTGAATCTAATCTAGTAGCTAAAAAAGAAAAAGAGGCAAACATTTTGTTATAGCATTGAAGAGGTAATGTTGGATTCCAAATGTCAATAGAGTTAAAAAGTTTACCTTCATTTCCAATCCTTGTTTTAGTGAGCTTAGTTTCTTAATCAGTTTTCTGATTTGGAGAAAGATAAAAAATGGAAAAAGGTAGTTATTCTTATATGATGTTGAAGTTCAACTTGGTGACAGGTTGAAATGAACATAGAGAAAATAACAAAGCTTGGCTGGATACATGTGCAAAGATAAGATAATAGCACATCAATGAATGAAACATGTTGCATGGTCCTTTTATAAAACCAGACCTATTACAAACTATTGAGGTTGAAGGTTAAAATGCAGGATGATTTTAAAAAAGGGTAGTCAGCAACAAAATATAAGCCTTTGATGATTTCAAAAATTTTAAATTAGTCTAATTTCCTATAGTTATTTAAAAAGGGAGAGTGAATAGAATGAACCTATAACTTTGATGGAAATTTTATAAATTTTAGTTCATACAAGCCCATAAAGTCCAACTGGCCATGCTGCAACAGCTGCACCTACTTCTTCACTGTGCAGTGTGAGTCTTGTATATGGAAATAACAAATTATAAGTAGATTAAAATGTTTAAATGGTTTAATAACCAGAAAGACATAAAATATTTTCCATATTGATGAATAACTTAAAGCATGACTTTCTTTCATGTAATAACCTGATATGAGAAATATCCCACAAGTGCTAAATTTTGCTACATGATATTTGTGAGCAAGGCATCCCAGACTAGGGTTTATAAAGCCTAATGTTACTCTGCTAATAAGAGTTGCATCAAGTTAATTAAGAAACCAAGTATCAGTAAGAAATAAAATCATACTTTCAGCTCTAATTGAAGTCACAGACTCAGAAGCACTCAACTTTGAAGCCATCATTTCAGCTCTAATTTCTTTCATTAAACTCATGAGTATCTCATTATTGGGATCCAAATCATTGAATTTTTTCAAGATACTTTTGGTAGATGCTTGATTCTTCATACACAAACCATCAACACTTACCTTACTATCTTTTACATCTGCAATTGAAGAATCTCTATGGTTCAGTAGTGCAAGAGACTGTGTACGTATAATCTTTTTACTTCCTTCAACTATTAGTTTAAGTGAAAAGTTTTGATGAAAAGATTCTGTTTAAATCATCATTATTACAGTTCCCTGAAGAAGGTCAGAAATGGGGTTTCCTTATATGGTTGCTTTTCAGCTATTGTGGACTCATCTGCCTTGTTGGAATATCTATGAACACATTATGATTCATAAAAAACCTCAAAGACTTAAATCTTAGTTTGATTTTCTTTTAACATCCATATTTTCAGCTACTGTGGACTCATCGTCAAATTCCATAACAGAAGAAAAGAGATTTGATTCACAAATCAAATGAATGTTTTACGATCGTACCTTGAAAAGAACCATCGGTTGGAAAATAGCGATAAATTGTGGTGATTCTTTCTCTTGATAGATACGACCTTGAACAGGTATCGCCTTCAGTGAATTGAACATCAACGTATTCAATTTAGCAGTTGTATTCTGATCCACTTGTTTATATGTGATCCAATCGAAGTGCAACTACTATACAACATAATAAATATAGCCCTAACTTTGAATTTAGGGCGAAAGAAGTATACTGGTCATCCTTCTGTGCTGCTCTCATTTGAATTTAGGGCGAAAGTTGTATTCTGATACGACCTTGAACAGGTACCGCTGGCGTAGATAGTTGGAGGTACTGGTTGGGGTGGTAGCTAGACCGACATCTTCTCTACGACTGCTCGTCTCGAGACGTCCAGCACCAGAGGACTCCCCGACTTCGATTCCCATTTTTATTTATTCTCTCTCTCTCTCTCTCTCTCTCTCTCTTAATTATAGGGAGTTTTCAATTTCACCTTTTATTTCCACCGGAGACGCCGCCTATTAAGGGTTCATCGGAATGTGATTGTCGTCGAAATATTATATAAGGATTTTGCAAGGTTTAACAGTGAGGATGGGGTGAGAGAGCTACCAATGGTGATGGTGGATGAAGTGTTGGTCGAGAAGGCCAGTACATCGTCGTCGTGCAGGCCTGAAGAGTCAGTGTGGGTGGGAGGTAGTGGAGGTGGGGTGAGGGGTGGAGACGAAGGAGAGGAGATATCAGAGAATAGATCAAAAAGAAATGTAGGAGAAGAAAGTGGGGTTTAAAATTTTTAGGGATTTCATTTTCCCTCTAGGAAGAGAGGCGCACGTTTCTTAAAAAAATATAAAACGACATTCACAGAGGACGCACAAGTGCCCTCTGTTTTTTTTTTCTTTTTTTACATAAGACATTAATTTAAAGGCACACAATAATGCGTGGCCTAAATCAATAAATTTTTTTAAGAGATGACACTCTTTTAATGTCACTCTCCATTACGTAACATAAATCAATGAGTGTCGTGGTTTGCGCGTCGTAAAAGGGTCTTTTTCTTGTAGTGACACACGAAACCAGGGAAGTTTCTTATCTTTTCATTTTTCTGCTTAAAAAAGTGATTAAAGAAGGCAATAAACCAACATAGTGTGGGCTAAAGATTTAAATTTGGGCATACGAAAACACTATCTTGAATTGACTTCCTCGGAACTTCCTCAGAAGTACCATGCATTACAGATGACCAACCCAAAAAAATGAATGTTTTGAGTAATCTCGATATTTTCATATACAAAAATATAAATATAGAATAAAAAATAATTTTTTTTTGAGTAATCTCAATATTTCCTATTCATTTTCAAGCTATTTCTATATTTTATTTAACTTCCTTATACATGAATTACTTTTATTTCACTAAGTTTTACACGATATACATACATACATACATGCATGCGTACCATTAGAACTCATTACTCAAAATATTTGTTTACTATTATATATATATATATATATATATATATATATATGTATATATGTATGTATGTATGTATGTATGTATATGTGTATAATACGTATAACTTGTTAAGACAAAAGTATTTAATGTATAACATAGTTGTACAAAATATCAAACGAAAAAACAATGTTTGAATCTCGAAAAAATAAATAAGGGCTTTTGGTCCTAGGAAATCTCATGGAAATAACTTACACGTTTCCACTGGATTAGTTACAAATTTTGTTTTGTGTAGCAAATCTCTTGGTATTTCCAACACATTTCTAAGAGATTTCCTGGGAACATAATCTGTTTTTTTATGTTCAAACGATGTTTTTTTGTTTTATATTTTGTTTGACTTCATTATACATGAATTAGTTTTATTTCACCAAGTTATACACGATATATACATACACACATGCATGCATATCATTAGAACCTATTACTCAAAACATTCATTTACCATTATAAATCTATATGTATGTATATGTGTATAATATTTATAACTTGGTAAGATAAAGGTATTTAATGTATAACAAAGTTATACAAAATATGAAACGAAAAAAACAACATTTGAATTAGTGTTATTTCACCAAGTTATACAGAATATATATATATATATATATATATATATATATATATATATATATATATATATATATATATATATATATATATTATGACATCAGAACCTATTACTTAAAACGTTCGTTTACCATTCTAAATCTCTATGTATGTATGTGTATAATATGTATAACTTGGTAAGATAAATGTCTTTAATGTATAGAAAAGTTGTACAAAATATGAAACGAAAAAAATAACATTTGAAACTTGGAAAAAAAACGTGTTATGGTCCTTAGAAATCCCTCGGAAGTATCTACGCATTTTCAATAGATTAGTGACAAATTTTGCATTGTGTAGGAAAAAATCCCACGGTATTTCCTACATATTTCCAAGGAACATAATTTGTTTTTCATTTTTTGATGTTCAAACGATATTTTTTCATTCTATATTTTTTTCGACCTCATTATGCATGAATTACTTTTATTTCACCAAGTTATGCGCGATATATACATACATACATGCGTGTACACCGTCATAACCTATTACTCGAGACATTTGTTTACTATTTCATGGTTGTGTATGTGTATAATTTGTGTAACTTTGTATGATAAAAGTATATAACGTGTAATAAAGTTGTATAAAATATTAAACGAAAAAAATAACATCTAAACTTCAAAAAGACAAAAAAAGCGTGATTTTCTCTTAAGAAATCCTTTGGAAATATCTACGTATTTCTAAGGGATTGGTGACAACTTTTGTATTGTATAGGAAATCCTTCGGTATTTCTTACGTATTTCCAGTTGATTTCCTAGAAACATAATATGTTTTTCAAAATTTTATGTTAAAATGTCGTTTTTTTTTTGTTCTATATTGTACACGGAAATTGTAATAAAAAACTAACATATCATATAATTAAACTGTAATGTTAATAATGTATATAATAGGGGATTTGACTTAGTAAGGTAATTAAGTATTTCAAATGTTCACATATGGGTAATATTGTTTTTTTTGTACTCATTTACCCAACAAACTTGTTTCAGCCGTTCAATAATAACCAACATTACCGGCTATTGTAAGTTTTGGGTGATGTGGCTTGTACGCTACAATACTCATCACCTATGTGGCATTGAGAAGTGCTTACATTATAAGAGGGTGAGATACGACAGCTTATTAATTAAAACCCTAGATCGATCGACGGCATCTTCTTCCTCATCCTTTTCTTCCAAACGACAAGACGAATTACAACCGGATCATCCATGTGATTGCGATTTGCCATCTCGTGTGAAGATATCAAGAACCCCAGACAATCCTGGAAGGAAATTCAGAGTTTGTCAAAACTCACTGGTAATTCATATTTTTTACTTCTTCTTCATCCTTCAATTTAACATGTTCTTATAAATTTCTTGAAGAATGGAAAAAGTCCAAGCTGTAAATTTTGGCAATGGTTGGCTGAGGATGAAGGGAGGAAAGATGGAAGAGGGCATTACAGGATGAAAGCAGAAGAAAGCTGCAATCTTACCTTGAAAATTTGTACCTTGGAGAATGAAATCAACATATGTAGGATGAAGATTGAAGAAGAGAAGAACAGGAATAAACAAGAACTTGACAAAGTCAACTGGAAATTGTTTACCCATAGACTTGCATTAATTTTCTTATTTCTCTTGTATGTCAAAATGTTTTTTTAAATTATGTATTATGATGTAGTATGACTAAATTATGTATGCTTTTGTGATGTTTTCAATGAAAAAGGTTATATTCTATCATTGGAATGGAATAGTACATTGTAATGGAATGGGTATTAAACTTGGTAGTATAAAAGATAGTAATAAACATTGTTATGGAATTGAATCATTGTAATTGAATCATTGGAATTGAATCATTGGAATGGTAGTGTACAAAAGTTGTAATGTTATTGTTAATCACTGGAATTGAATTGTTCAAACAATGTAATGGAATTGTGATTACATTGTAAAGGAACTGTGATTACAGTTGATATTCTAAAAGATGGTAATAAATTATAAATAATACAAATGGTATTAGAAAGATGTGCAAAAGATGGTAATTGAAACATTGGAATGGTAGTGTACAAAACTTGTAATGTTATTGTGAATCATTGGAATTGAATTGTTCAAACAATGTAATGGAATTATGATTACACTGTAAAGGAATTATGATTACAGTTGATATTCTAAAGTTGGAATAAATTATAAATAATACTAATGGTATTAGAAAGATGTGCAAAAGATGGTAATATATTATAGACATTCCAGGGAACATTGACTTCAAAAGATGTGTCAAAAGTTTTACATAACATAGTTAAACATTCATTACACCCAAAAGATGTGCAAAAAGTTAAGCTATTCCAACTAGTTTTCAAAAGATGTGCCAAAAGATTCCAAAGTTAAAAGATGTCAGTCAAAGATCCCAAAAACATTAACCACAGTACAATAAGCCAAAAGTTAATCCAACTCATACGGATTGTCATCACTACTGCCCTGTTTTCCCTCCCACATCTTTCTTATCTTCAGTTTTGTAATTCTTTCTGAAGGTTTCCTTGCCCTCTTTCCCACTACAACTTGAAAAGCTGGTATTTCCACTTGATCTTGAACTACAATTTGGTTAGCATCTTCAACTTGAACTTGCACTTCAGGTTCAACTTCAGCTTGAACTGCAAGGTGAACTTCAACTTGGTTAGCATCATGAACTTCAGGATGATTTTCAGGTTCAACTTCAGCTTGCACTTCCTCTTGAACTTCATGTTGCACTCCATCTTGGACTTCAGGTTCTACTCCATCTTCAACTCCAGGTTGCACATCATCTTCAAATTCAAGATCAAAAGAGTCAACATCACGTTCAGGTTCTATTTCAACTTCACTGTCACTGTCAATATCAACTTCATGTGCCAATACAACCTTCACTTTATCTGTTTTGTATTACTTGAAAAGTTAAGTTATGCCCAATATGTTAAGTTATACAAGTTATATACAAATAAATATATCAAACATACCAACTTTCTTGGATTTCTTTTTCTTTGAACTTGCATTTGATGATTCCCCAATTGGTTTTTGAGGACAGGTTGTTATATTATGCCCACTTTCCCTACATATGCTGCATTTCATCACACTACCTCTTTTTGTAATTGAATGCTTTTTTCCTTGGTTTTCCCTCTCAATCTGATCCCTTTTCCTTTTTGTTGATGGTCTTCCTGTAACATCCGGATTTTTACCAGGTATAATGTAAGTTTAATTGTGTTGTTTTGTAAGAGGGACTCGGCGAGTCAGGGCTCAGACTCGCCGAGTAGGGACGCGGGTTTGAGCGAAGGTGCGCGCTTGGACTCGGCGAGTCCAGGGCATGGACTCGGCGAGTCTGCGCTGTGTTAAGAAACCCTAAATCCCCGGGTTTGTGGCCTATTTAAGGGGCCTTATGGCTGTCATTTGCGCTCATCCAACCCCCCAGAGTGTGTCCCTAGAGTTCTTGAGCGTTTGGTGAAGGATTGAGAGCAAATCTTGACCTTGTGAGTGTTGTTTAGCAAGAAGAAGGAGGCTCTAGGCAAAAGGAGGCAAAGGAGGTTGCCATTTCGTGGATTTGGAGCTTGGATCATCACTTTAGAGGTAATATTTCGGACCATTTCCTGTTTGGTGAACTTGATGCAAGTTAGGGTTAAATATGATCATTTATGGGGTGATTTGGTGCCCTTTTTGTTCCCTCTTTGAGTTGAGACCATGGATCTGGATCCATAGAGGTCCAGGGGGCCTCACTCATCAAGCTTTATGGGTAAAAATGGAGTCCTTGGCCTTGTGTTGAAGTAATAGAGTCAAAATCATCATTTGTGATCATGTAGAGGTTATTCATGCATCAAGACTGGGACTTTACGTGCTAAGTAAGCATGGGGGGACTGGATCTATGGATTAGTGGACTGGATCTGGCCTTTAGAGCAAGATTGAGTTAGTGCATGGCATGGACTCGCCGAGTCCGAAGAACAGACTCGGCGAGTAGCTTGAATGTTACACGACCACTCAGCGAGTGGCCTCGCCGAGTTGGGATGAGTGAACCCAGTGGGTCAAGGGGGAGTCAGGATGGACAGGTGGACCGAGTCAAACCGGACTCGCCGAGTCGTTCTGGAGACTCGGCGAGTTGAGTCGTGGTGGCCCCACAACTCGTGCCAGGTGGAGCTCGTCGAGTTGGGAAGGGATGCTCGACGTGTCAAGAGAGAGTTTCAGGGAAATTGGTGATTTCGCTCAGACTCGCCGAGTCGCTATAGTGCACTCGCCGAGTCCGGTCAAGTTGACCGTTGACCAGCGTTGACCTAGATTGTCCTGTTATGGTATGGTTAACCCTAGTTGGGAAAGTGTTAATTAGAGATATATTGTGCTATAGGGGGGACTTCAGCTCGGCAGATCGAGTGTTTAGCAATTTCAGGGTTACGGTTTACCGAGACACACGAGGTGAGTCTTCTCACTATACTTTACCTTGAGTAGGTAACCAGAGTTATGTGATAGAATATTTGTATGCGATGTATGTTATGTGTTGTACTGCATTACTTTTATGTGTTTGATGCTGTGCATGTTTACAGAGCTAGAACCGGAAGGTTCACAGAGTTAGAACCTGAGGGTTCACAGAGTTGGGTGCACGGACCCACAGAGTTATAGCCTCGAGTGGCTAATATGTGTTACATGTAGTATTTTGGGAAACTCACTAAGCCTTGTGCTTACAGTGTTGATGTTATTGTTTCAGGTACTAGTGACGACCGTGGGAAGGCGCCGGCTTGATCCGTACACACACGTTTGGAGCTTGACATTTTGATCTTGGGATTTTGCAATGTATTGTTGAACAATTTAAAAGGGGTTGTTTTTATGAATATTGATGGAACTATGTTTTTATAAAATCGAAAATTTTGTTTGAAAAATTGAGTGTTACAAATTGGTATCAGAGCCTTGGTTTGAGGGATTCGGGTACACCTTCGGGGGTATTTGAACTCAAACTGAGGAAATGAAGAGATATTTTCAAAAAAAACCAAAATTTTCTAAGAGTAAAGGGTTTCCAAGAGGAGACGTGTGTACGATCAGTCAGCGCCCGAACGGTGAATTCCCAAAATATCTTTTGTTGTGTAATAACTATTATGGTGATGTGTATGCATGCTAGAATAGGCTAGGTATTGCTGATAGGGCTAGAGCGGCCTGTTTTGTGATGCCTTAGCTTAGGGAATGGTGAGCTGCTATGAGACGCTGAGAGTAGTTAGGTAGCAGCTAGGGTTTGTGTGAGATCTGTTCAGAGAGATTTAAGTATAATAGAGTACTTGGGGACTGGGATCCGAAGAGGACGATTTGGAGTGTGTACTGAGACGGTGTGGACAGTAGTATTGGGCCCGTACTACTAAAAGCACCGGAGCGGTACGCAGTTCAATTAAGAATCTGGGGATGCCAAGAATCAAGGAGGGGTGGATTGTTGAATGTAAGAGTATTCGAGTAAACTCTAATTATCGCATGTTGTGTTTCAGAGGTTGATCATGGTGAGGACACGACACATGCCGGAGGATGCCGGGTCTAGTGATGAGGACATTCGGCAGATCATTCATGAGGAGGTGGCTGCGGTCATCAGAGCCGAGATACCGGAGATGTTCGGGTCTATTAAGACCGCTTTGATTGAGACATTTGACGAGCGCTATGCCGCTCTTTCCGAGGCTGCGGTCGCAGCAGCTACCGCAGCGATTGCTGCGGCGAGACCCCAGGGAGGTGATGCGACGTTGTTCAGGGAGTTCAGCAACACCAAGCCGCCAGAGTTTGATGGTACGCAGGACCCGGTGGCAGCTATGAGGTGGATATCTGATATGGAGGGATGCTTCTTCACTTGCTCGTCCCCTGAGCATTTGAAGGTTCGGTTCGCATTGAACCAGCTTCGCTTGGGAGCGAAGGACTGGTGGAAGTTTGTATCTGCGCATTTCACACCGACTGAGCTTTCGGCAGTGACCTGGGAGAGGTTCACTTCCATGTTCCAGGATGAGTATGTTCCTCAGGTGGAGAGGGAACGTCTGGCGCAGGAGTTTCTGACCCTCAAGCAGGGTACCGAGTCGGTTACAGCGATTACGAGGATGTTCCAGGAGAGGGCGATGTTTTGCCCAGAGCACGTGTCCACCGAGCAGGCACGTATGAGCCGTTATCTGAACATTTTGAGGCGGGATATTCGGGAGTTCGCTGCGAACTCCTCGTACCGGACATTTGCCGAGCTTCAGGCAAATGCTCGGAAGAGGGAGATTGAGCTTGAGACTCAGGCCAGGGAGGAGGCGGAGTCTATGGGGAGGGATCGGCGACCGGCACAGTCCCAGCCGGCAGCCAAGCGGGCCAAGCCCGCTGATCCCAGACCCGGGAGTCAGAAGGGCCGCACTTGTGGGAAGTGCGGCAAGGGTCACGATGGCGCCTGTCGGGCAGGGTCTTGCTACAAATGTGGCAAGGAGGGGCACATGGCTAAGGACTGCCCCAAGGGATTTGCAGTGTGCTTCCACTGCAACCAGACTGGACACCGGAAGGCGGAGTGTCCGCTGCTGCGCGGAGCATCTCAGGGGTCTGCTCCCGCCGCCATCAGAGCTACTGCTGCAGAGAGTCGGCCCGTGAAGGCCGAGGCACCGAGGGCTCGGGGGAGAGCCTTCCAGCTGACTGCGGAAGAGGTCCGCGCTGCACCCGACGTTGTGGCTGGTATGTTTCCTTTCATTATTGTTTATGGTGTTGAGATATTATGCTTATATCATGCTATGCTTAGGTACCTTCCTTGTGAATTCTGTACCTGCTTTAGTGTTATTTGACTCGGGTGCGAGTCGATCTTTTGTATCCCTGGCATTTAGTCAGCATATCAGTGTTAGTCGTGGAGTATTGAGTCGGCCTCTGCGGGTTTCCATAGCCGCCGACAGGGTGATTTGTGCTACGGAGGTCTTCCGGGGATGTGTATTGGAGATATTCGGGGTCGAGTTTCCGATCGACCTGATTCCGATTGCGATGGGTGATGTTTGTGTTATAGTGGGCATGGATTGGTTGAGCCGATTCGGTGCGGTTATCGATTGCGAGCGACAGCTGGTAACTATACGAGATCCTAGTGGGGGAGTTCTTTCAGTGTACGGCGAGGGTACACGTTCTGGATCAGCCTTTTGTTCGGCTGCTAGGGCGAGGCAGTGTTTACAGCGGGCTGTAAGGGTTATGTAGCGTATGTGATGGATACGCGAGTGATCTCCGAGAGACCAAGCTCTGTAGAGGAAGTTCCGGTGGTGCGGGAGTTTCCTGATGTATTTCCCGAAGAGTTACCAGGAGTGCCTCCCGCGAGGCAAGTGGAGTTTGGCATCGATTTGGTTCCGGGGGCCGCACCTATTGCTAAGGTGCCGTATCGCCTTGCGCCTCCAGAGATGCAGGAGTTATCCTCGCAACTTCAGGAGTTGCTGGGGAAGGGGTTTATTCGGCCGAGTAGCTCGCCATGGGAGCACCCATCTTGTTTGTGAAGAAGAAGGATGGCTCGCATCGCATGTGTATTGATTACCGGGAATTGAATAAGCTGACGGTCAAGAACCGTTACCCGCTGCCGAGGATCGACGATTTATTCGATCAGCTACAGGGAGCATCTTGGTTCTCCAAGATTGATTTGAGGTCGGGCTATCATCAGGTGAGAGTGCGGGACGAGGACGTCCAGAAGACAGCATTCAGGACACGTTATGGGCATTATGAGTTTGTGGTGATGCCTTTCGGGCTCACTAATGCCCCGGCTGTGTTCATGGACCTCATGAACAGGGTATGTCGGCCGATGTTGGATCGGTCGGTGATTGTTTTCATTGATGATATTCTGGTATATTCGAGATCTAGTGAGCAGCACGAGGAGCATCTGAGGGAGGTGCTTGGGGTTTTGAGAGCGGAGAAGCTTTACGCAAAGTTCTCCAAGTGCGATTTCTGGTTACGGGAGGTCCAGTTTCTGGACATCTCGTTAACCAGAAGGGGATATTGGTCGATCCGGCCAAGGTTGACGCAGTGATGAGGTGGGAGGTGCCGAGGTCACCTTCTGAGATACGGAGTTTTCTCGGGTTGGCAGGGTATTATCGGAGATTTATTAAGGATTTCTCCAAGATTGCGGTTCCACTCACCAGATT